ATGAAGAAGATGAGAGGCAGAAAGAAGAGAAAACAGTGAGGAGGGTTAGGGTTGTGTTAGGGATTGGTATTTAGGCCGATACCATGTGATGATGAGATAAATGTTCCTGATGATTATTATTAAAAGATGATTAAAGTATATATACAAATTACAACATGATATACAAGGTAAAAAATAATCTAATACAAGTAACTAAATAAAGCTAATTATATATGGAGTTTATCTCCGATATAAAGTATATGTTATTATTAGGAGTGAAACCAATCTATGACCTTTGAAGTCCGGTCGGTACCCAGAGGGATGTATTACATCTAGCGACCACACACCAACTAGTTTGGGACCGATTGGGAAGAATTCCATTACATGGGCTTCATCGAAATTCATGAATTTCACAATAGTTATTAAATATAAAACATAGTCAAAATCGAAAAAGCTACAAGGCTTTACCCATAAGTTTGCAATAGTTTCCAATTTTGGATATCTTAGGATTCTTACCTTTCTACTTTATTTTTTCTTTTTCAGTTTAATTGCTTTGATTTTACTAAAATACCTTCGAGGTTTTGAGCTTTTTATGATTTTATACTTGCTTGAGGACAAACAAAATTTAAGCATGTGATATTTTTATATTGCTTAAATTAATAATATAATTTGGTTATTTATCTTAATATTTATTCTAGAATATTGTATTTTAAGGATAAATATGCTTAATAGAGTTTAATATTTGATAATTATAATTTAAATTCGAAGCTGAAGATAAAAGGAAAAGATTGAAGCAAAATTGGAGCAGATAAGTAAGAAATTTGAAATTGCCTTAAAATACGGTGTTAACGCTGCAAAGGATAAGGGATAACGCTGCAAAGATCTATTAGAATTCGAGAACAAGCAGGACAGATCAGGCTTAGCGATACGTAGATGAAGGCTTCACGACGTTATATTTAAAAATCTATTAATACGAGATTTTCACATCCTAATTCGGTGTGCAGAAAAGAAACGTCATTTACTGCGAAAATAACACTTTTATCGTTCTAAAGGAGGAAGAATTCGTAGAAGGTGTATTATTGAAGATTTGTAGAAGAAAGCTTGAAAAAATCATTAGGTTTGCAATCTCTAGAATTATATATATATATATATATATATATATATATATATATATATATATATATATATATATATATATATTTATTTATTGTTTGTAAACATGAAGGGCTAATAACATTATTTTTTTGCATGTAGATGAACTAAAGTTATATGATGTATTTGTTGATTTTAGTTTATACCAGTTAATTATTTATTACTTTTGGATTAATCATTCTTCATTAATTGTTAAAGTTTAGATTTTTATAACTTACAATTAAGTTAATGTAATTTAGACTATTAATATGTTATGGTAATTTGAATCTTAATAGTTTTTTCACCATACATTGTGTTGATTTAACAAATCATAGGGTTAGGCAATATTAAGTAGTAATTTTTGCATTTACAAATACATTAGTTAACAAAGTATGCTAAGTTTAATTTTGTTCTCATTAAGATTATACATTTGGTTAATTCATTAGTAATTCGATTAATTAATTGCTTATTATGTTGTTAGTTTCATGCACATTGAACTAGTTACTAATCTCAAGTATTAATAATTACACCATAATTCCCAATCAACTTATCTATTGGTAATCACTTTATTAATTCATTGCACCATTAACAAATCATCATAGGAAAATAGGATTCAAAGTCTAAGATGAAGTGTTTCAATATTATTGTCTTAATTTAAGCTATTTGTTTTATTCGATTGTATAAAATTATAATTTAAACGTCCTTCGATTTTTATTTTTATGCTTTAATTAATTTAAGCTGATTCTGATCATACCGGTTCCCCGAGAGTTCGACATCCTTATTCACCACAACTATAATATTATACAATTAGGTTCATTGTCTGTGTTTTAATTCGGTTATGATAGATTAGGATTTATAAATTTAAAACATGATAATTTATTATATAAAAATAACACATGAGAGGTAATAGTTTGGCTTCTTAAGGAAAAAAAAGTGAAGGTTATGATTTTGTTTCGTCCTTAGATATAAGGCAAGAAGGAAGAGGAATAAAGGGATGATACCATTAATATCATTATAGCCCAATAAACTTTTAGGTTTTGCTTTAAACAGTAATTTACATGTTATTAATAGTCTAAATCGCTTAACTTGTTATTAACCTCCTAAAGAAGGGGCCAAGAAAATTATTTCATAGTTATAACCGGAGTATCAAATCTTAGATTTTTTGTTGGTGATGGATTTTTTTCTCGTTCGGTTAACTTTTTGCTTTTCAAAGAATATTTTCTAGTTTATATTTTTGTCTAAAGATGGCAAAAAAGGAAATTATAATGATATTGGTGCAAGGTGACCAATGGTGATGCAAGATACTGGATGGATCTTTTATATTGATTAAGGTCCCGTTTGATATTTGTTAACTGAGAAAATGCTGATTGGGAAATGTTTGTCTGAGTAATAAATTCTGATTGAGTAAGAAATCATTCTGTTTGACTGTACATCTAACTAAATGTGCTGACTAATACAAAATAACCATTTTACCCTTATGCTCTAATAATAATAATAATAATAATAATAATAATAATAATAATAATAATAATAATAATTGATTAGAAAAGTTCAGGGTCCAACTAGTAATTTCCAGAAATTAGTTATGCAAGACAGTTTAAAGTTGTGGTAGATTCAGCCAAAATGACTATCTTCAAGGACCAAAACTGCCTAATTCCAATTTTGTGTTGTCTTCTTCCCTTGATCAGACGAGTCTCTTCACGTGTTTCTTTATTTTGTGCGCCTATGTTCTAGTTTCTTTTTCCCTTTCCAGGGATTAAATTGGTGGTTGAGGAAGGAGGATGAGGGTGGTGCAAGGGCAATGGTGGAATGAATTTGAGTCGGATTCAATCAGCAACTTTTTGGGTATGAGATGGTCAGACATTGTTAACCCGGTAAGATGTAAAACCGAGACATATCAAACACATGGAGCTGACCGAGTCAGACATTTTTGTCTGACTTGATCCAGTCAGATCTAAATCAATCAGGGCCTAAATATCAATTGGATTGTCAAGTCATAAGTTTAACCATATTAGACCATCCATAAATGTCAATAATCTTTCAACTGTATCACATCAGCTTTACAATTATCAACCATATCACTGGAATACCAACTCTCTTTCAAAGTGAACATCATTAACACATCATCAACTAATTGATAAATTTTAAATATATTTAGAATAATAATAGCTAATATATATATATATATATATATATATATATATATATATATATATATATATATATAAAATACATAAAAAATACATGAGCTAACGGTCGAACCGGATGAACCGGAAACCGGTTAGTAGATCGGTTCAACTAAAAACCGGTTTTTTAAAATATATATATATATATATATATATATATATATATATATATATATATATATATATATATATATATATATATATATATTAAAAACCGGTTTTTAGATGAACCAATCTACTGACCGGTTTCCGGTTTGTTCCGGTTCAACCGTTGGTTTATGTATTTTTTTTTATGTATTTATCGTCTATGTTTAAATAGTTGTATTCCTTCTAATTTAATATCTTTACAATAGTATTTTTTAAATAAGCCATAGTTATTAATATTTGTTAATCAAATAATAATTAAAGTTAAAATTAAAATTAACGTAAAAAAACACAAATAAAATGAAATTTCGAAAACAAAATAAACAACGTTTGTGTATATATTAATATGTTAATGTAATTAAAAGATGGTTTTTTTAATCATATTTCATTAAGTAGAAAAGTGGTAAATAGAAATATTATTTGAGTAAATTACTGAAATCGTCCTTATGGTTTGGTTAAAATTGCATGTTTGGTCCCTAACTTTTCTTTTGTACTCGGATCGTCCCTGTGGTTTGATTTTGTTGCATTTTTCGTCCCCGTGGTTTGATTTTGTTGCGTTTTTTGTCGCTTACATACATAAAGTTAGGGACCAAACATGCAATTTTGATTAAACCATAGGGACGAAAAATGTAATAAAATCAAACCACAGGGACAATCCGAGTGCAAAATAAAAGTTAAGGACCAAATATGCAATTTTAACCAAACCACAGGGACGATTTTAGTAATTTACTCATATTATTTTAATATATATATATATATATATATATATATATATATATATATATATATATATATATATATATATATATATATATATATATATATCGGTTGTTAATATTTAAATATGATTGCTTTAATTAAAAAATTAATATTATAACATTTACAAGTCTTTCATATATTGAAAGACAAAGTCCTCCGTTGACAATAAAATTTGATTAGTGGCATTGAAAGATCCGATATGGGTGGTCTTACTCTTCAATTCTTTGATATTGGTGTATTTAACATGTAGAATTGAGTTTATGTTCTTGGAAAAAAAAAGTGACCAACCGAAACAAAATCAAATAAATTGTTTAGGGTTAAGTGATATTATCTTTGTTTTATTATCTTTTTAATAAATTAATAAATATAAAAAATTAAAATAAATCAGTCAGGATAAATTTGTCTTTTTAACATTGTTTACGACCAAAATCGAAACAATATAAAATTTTTGGATGGTCCGAATTAAAAGAAAAAGCTAGAGACAATACATAGAGATTACCCAAACCACAAGGACCATTCTTGTAATTCACTCTATTTTTTATTTTTAATATAAATAAATTCATTAGGAAATACGAAATAAATATTTAATCTCCATCAAATTTTTCGTGAAATACTAGTTAGAAAAATGAAGACCATTAGGAAATAGGAAATAAATATCATGTCAGCGATAAACAGCACATCGATTTGTGGCCAAGAAATGTGGAATAAAAGACAAGGGTAATATGGTCAAGAAATTATAGTGGCATTTTTCGTAAATAAACATTTTAAGGTATAAATTATTAAATATTTGCATTGTTTCTCTACACAGAACCCTTGCCCTGCATCTGAAACCCTCCCCTTGCATTTGATTTCGCCTCCTCCTTCTCCCTTTCACAGTTTTTCCCAAATATTCTCTAAAATGGGAGAGGAAAAACCAAAGCCAATCGCCGGCGTTTGGCCCACCGTTAAACCATTCGTCAATGGCGGAGCTTCTGGTATGCTTGCTACCTGTGTCATCCAACCCATCGATATGATAAAGGTACAATTTCGATTGAATCATTTCTAGTTCTACTTTTTTTTCTCGTAATCGTGAATTATCGCATTTGTTACGCCTTCAATGATGGTAATTTTAGGGTTTAGATCTTGTGCTCTTTATTTGAAGTCTGTTTTATCAGTTATCACGATCTTGTTTCTTTTTCGAATTGCATTACTGAGCTAATAGCTCAAAATGATTTGTGTCTTAGATTGCTGGTTTTTAACTCTACTTTTTGCCAAATTTGATACTTGACATAACTTCTTGATGTTTTTCTGCTTCGAATTTGATCTGGATCGACAATTTAAACTACTTATAATCTACACTCAGGTCGATTGTGTCCTTTTCACTGTTCTTAATTTGAAAATTGATAGAATTGTATCCTAGTGATTACTGAATTTCTAATGGCTGAAAATCTAACATATATGAACTTTTTTGTTATCATTGTATCTACCACTAAACCAAATCTGTTTTTATGTTGGTTAAAGACATAAGATTTAGTATTTGTCTTAAATTATCTATAAATTTCCTAAATTATCGATCACTTACAGGTGAGAATCCAATTGGGTCAAGGATCTGCTGTATCAGTGACAAAGAACATGCTTAAAAATGATGGTGTTGGTGCTTTTTACAAGGTTTGTCTTAAATTATCAATACATTTCCTAAATTATGAACCAAATATCACACACAAAAGCTCAACATCATGTTTCAAATCATCATCTTCATATATCTTCTAACCATGGTGTCATTTGGAGCACAGGGTTTGTCTGCAGGTTTACTAAGACAAGCCACATACACAACTGCAAGACTTGGCACATTCAGGTGAGTAATTATTTAGTCAAATCTTTAGTCAAACTTGAATGCAATTAGCCAATTATACTATATATTAAAACAAAAGTCCTTATGAATATAGTTTTTTATTTTCATACTTTGGCCACAAAAATTCATTTTTTTGACATATTTAGTCCCTAGACTATAGTTTTGTGGTTTCATACTTTGATCACAAAAGTTTCATTTTTTGGACATATTTTGTCCCTTTCCCTATTTTGTAGAATGTCACTTTCGACCCTTTTACTTTGTAAAATACTACTTTGATCCCCTAAAATTTGAACATTTATCAATAATTCAATATGAAGTGATGAACTGAACTCTTTTTGAATCTTTTTTTTTTTTCTAGGATTCTGACAAACAAGGCACTTGAGGCAAACGAAGGAAAGCCACTTCCTTTATACCAAAAAGCCTTATGTGGACTGACAGCTGGCGCGATTGGAGCATGTGTAGGGAGCCCAGCTGACCTGGCACTGATCCGAATGCAGGCTGATGCCACTCTACCCCTTGCACAAAGGCGTAATTACACAAACGCCTTTCATGCTTTATACAGAATCACAGCAGATGAAGGAGTTTTAGCTCTTTGGAAAGGTGCGGGTCCCACTGTTGTAAGAGCAATGGCATTGAACATGGGAATGCTTGCTTCTTATGATCAAAGTGTTGAGTTTTTCAAAGATAATCTTGGATTTGGTGAAGGTGCCACAATTCTAGGTAAGTTTTTTTTTTAATATATATTTTAAAATCATTGAAATGAAAGGATTGAGAAATTTGAAATTATATATTTATGTTTTTTTTTTTTTGGCAGGGGCTAGTTCTGTATCAGGGTTTTTTGCTGCAGCTTGTAGTTTGCCTTTTGATTATGTGAAAACTCAAATTCAGAAAATGCAGCCTAATGCAGAAGGGAAATACCCTTATACTGGATCTTTAGATTGTGCTATGAAAACCCTAAAAGCTGGAGGACCTTTCAAATTCTACACTGGATTTCCTGTTTATTGTGTTAGGATTGCTCCTCATGTTATGGTACTCTCTCTCTCTCTCTCTCTCACACACACACACACACACATACACAAATATACACACACAAGAATTGGGTTTGACAAATCTGAATTCTGTGAAGTAAAGGGCAAATTGGGAATCTCTATTCTGAAAATAAAGTTTGTTCTTTGATAAAAGTTTGAGGAATGGTGATGATAATCTTGAAATTTTTTTAATCAAATAAGGGTTAATCTCAAAAAAGATCTTTTATTTTGTGTGTGTGTGTGTGTGTGTTTTTTTCCGGATTAAACCTCAAATTTATTTTTTGCTTGAAAAAGGCCACCCTTATATTTTTTCCGAAAAAGTCCTCGACTTTGTATTTTTTCTCGAAGAAAACGCAAAACCCTGAACCTTGTAAATGCTTCCAAATAAACCCGCAACTTTTTTAGTTTTTCTTGAGAAAACCCTCACATTTTATAATTTTTTGGCAAAAAATGACTAAAAGGGTCAGATTGGAAAAAATGAAAAAAATACAAGGTCTTTTTCAGTCAAAAAATAAATTTGAGGTTTAATCCAAAAAAAGCACAAAATATAAGGTCTTTTTTGAAATTAACTCTAATACTACTAATAATAAGAGTAAATTGCAAGAATGTTTCATGAGTTTTGTGTTTTTCTTGCAATTTTGGGACCTAAACTTTAATTTTTCCAAATTCGGTTTTAAATATATAATCATGCAGTTTCCTATTATTTTTGTATGTGTGCCATATAAAATGACTAATTTGCCCTTATCTGTTTTTTTATAATTTTTTGTTCAAACTCGGGCACTATTCATGTAATTTACTTTAATCTATATCTATCTATCTATACATATTATAAAAGAATAATTTTTCTTTTCACCACATGCATTTGAAACCCCAAAACTCTTCATATTTTATCTAATACATATTTTATTAATTTACATGTGTTATTAAATGTGAAATAAATACTTCAAATGTTAATTTAAATATCATGTTAAGTCCAAAATATAAATCAAAATATCAAATAAACATAAAAGTATTCAAAGATTCTTTTTTTAAAATAGTTTAAAACATTTAAATGTTTTAAACACGAAACTAAATCGACATGTCAAACCACCTAAAAATATCCAAAACAAATTATTTATAATAATTGAAATTTTTTCAAATCAAAGGTTTTTAAATCATAACAGTTAAAAAGTAACATTAAAATCGAATAAGTAATTTCGAAATTATTTAATCGTAACGTTAAAAGTAACATTAAAATCGAGAATTATATTTAGTTTTATTCACATGTCAGCTTCCTATTAAATGATATGATTTTAACAAATGTTATAACATGATCCAAAATCATTACAATTTTACATAACAAATTAGTGTAAGAAACCATAATGTCATGGTTAGAATTAATAACATCATATTCACATACTAATAATTATAATTTTCTAATATTTTAATTTTTGTTTACACAGATGACATGGATTTTCCTAAATCAAATTCAAAAACTAGAGAAGAAAGCGGGATTATAAATTTATAATCGAAGAAGTGAAAGCACTCTATATCCGAAATAACAGTGTTGTACTCGTTACAGGTTTTTTTTTTTGTTGTTGTTGCTCAATTAGCATTGCTAAGTATTATTAAATCAGAAATATTTCGATTTCCTAATTATTATAAAAATCATTAATGTTGTACTTCCTTTATAATAATCACAAACTTCTAGGCTAGGATTGATTTCATATTTTAACATTTTGATATATTTTTTTTCTTCGCTATTTAATAATTCTTGAGCTTACGTGTGCCACCTGCCTCGTGTCCTTGTGAGAGCGCCTGTTCCATTCCGTTCAAATGTGCTTTTGCCAACTTCTTTTTCGTTTCCTCGTCTTTTCACAAACAAAAAGTGTATTAGTCAAGATTTTGATGGACTCTTTTTGAAAGAATGTTAGTTTTCGTGGGTGTTTTTGAAAGGTAATGAAATTTGTAAATATAAGAGTAAATTACACGAATGGTCCCTTTTGTTTAGGATAATTTATACGTTTGGTCCATAACTTATTTTTTTAACTTGTAAGGTGTTTTTGTTGCGTGCTTGTTTATTTTTGTTATGTGTTTACTATTATTTAAATAGAGAAAATGATGGGATAGGTAAGGAAAGGTGAGGGGGTGGGGTTAAGAGTTTATTTATTTAAATAAATTAAAAAATCAAAGGCAAAATAGTTTTTTTAGGTAAGACAATGACCAAAAGCATAACAAAAAAACAACTAGTAGGGACCTTCCGAGTTAAAAATATAAGTTAGGGATGAAACGTAGAAATTACCCTAAATCATAGGGACCATTTGTGTAATTTAATCAAAATATAGTTCATCTTTAAACATACCGGGAGGGCATCCGCCAGGGCTATCGGGGCATTGTTCACAATTAAGAACACAAAAAAAGTAGCATTCGATTTCTTGTGCCTCGGTGTTCCGCTTCATGCATTGGCTTGGGCATTCGCGCATGCATATTGTTTCCCCTTGTGCCTTGTGGCTCAAGCAAGCCAACAACATTAGTGCAATAAAACTTAAGTTTTTCATTTTTATATCCATCTATCAAAAAAAACTATCTATGGTTTCAAAATCAGGAAGAGGGTTGGAAGGGGTCATTTGGGCTTTTGATTCATTTCTTTTCCTAAGGGTTGTTTTTGTTAATAAGAGAGCCTGTTTGTAGTTGGGGTTGGTGTTTCTATATTTAGAATTGTTTGATTTCCATCTTTCTTTGTAGACCTCTCAAATCATTGTCTTGGATGGCGATTCTATGAATTGTTTCCAAATATAGAAAGAAGGCAAAAAGGTTGGTTATTTTGAACAAATATAATTTATATACCACCTAATATTTGTACTTTTTTTTATTCAAAGCTCTTCTTTCCATATTTGGAAAGACTATGATCACCAACCAAGACAATATTTGGAAAGACTACGAACACCTACCAAGAAAGATGGAAGTCAATAATACTAAATATAGAAACATCAACCCCAACTACAAATAGGATTTTTATTAACAAAAACAACACCCAAAGATAGGTTCACCATTTGGTGGTTATCTATTAGGTTTAAGTTATGCAACTATACCTACGGATGAGCATTTGGACCAGGAAACCGGTCGGAACCGAAACCGGTACCGAACCCGATGGACGATACTCTTGTGGATTTTTGAAATCGGGAACCGGTAAAAACCGGAACCGTATGTTGTTATTTCTCGATGACCGGTTCCAACATTGAAGACACAACAATAACTGGTAGGAATCGGGAACCGACGGTCCGACTCGGTTCTTAATTTCGGCCGACTTCGGTTCCCAAGCTGGATCCGGTTCGGGCCGGTTCTAAGGTTAGGACCGGTTCTAACTGGGTCGGTTCCTTTGCTTATCCCTGACTATACCTATCAGTATATGTGTGTTACATGTCCTAAATCAAACCGGTCCTTACTATTACAAAAATAATCATGGATAAACATGTCAACTTGCGAACCCGAATCTAACCCATGAATCTCGATCAACCTGTCAACTTGTGAACCCGAATCTAACTTGAATGACATTCACAACTTTAAAATGATGACTTTTTGATAAGGATATATATTTAAAGAATTCTATCACACGATGATCATATCATGCACATAAAATTTTATTTCTCTTTTGCTTTAGTACGATCCAAACACACTATCATATTATATAGAGGTGGAAATCATGTCGGGTTCGTGGGTAACAGGTCAGCGGGTCCCATATAATTATTCGTATCGCGGATTGAAGGGTTATAAGTTGACAGGTTGGAAACATCAACCCATGGATCACCATGCCAACTTGTGAACCCGAATCTAACCCATGAATCCGTGAACCCATATAAGTAAATGGGTTCGACGGCTTGTGTCCTGGTTGATGTTTCCAACCTGTTAACCCATGACCCTTCAATCCGCGACACAAATAATTATATGGGTCGTATTCGGGTTGATACATTCTGACCCGCTAACTTGTACCTGACATGATTTCCACCTCTATATGGTATGATCATCATGATATGTTTGGATCGTACTAAAGCAAAAGAAACAAAATTTTATGTGCATGATATGATCATCATGATAGAATTTTTTAAATATATATCCTAATCCAAAGACAACGTTTTAAAATCGTGAATGTCATTCAAATAGCACATAGGCTATATACAAAATTACACACAATAAGCAATGCACATACATCCCGGAGAGATGAGATGTAAATATTTTATAGGGTGTGTGCTCATAATACAATATACAATTACATCAAAGTTTTAGTATGGGGAACTTTTAGACAACGGTTTTGTTGGATCTTATGTATAAGAAACAAAAAAGTTATTACCTTTAGTTATATATGAATTTATATTACTATAGACCAAGAGCAACTAAAAGATACGAACTAAATAATATATCTATATATGATAAATTTATTATTAAACAATCAGAATAAAAAAAAATTGATTTATTTATAATCTATTAAACAAAATAAATAAATAAGAGTTGATTTAGTAAAACAAAAATATGATTTATTAATTAATAACTTTTAAAAGGATTCTAAAATCATATTTGACTAATTAGTTAATGGTTATTATTTAGGGTTTTGGTTTGACTAAATAAATGGCTTGAAAGGAAATTATAAAACCCACTCATTTGGATTAGTTTATAAGGAAAGACTTTTTATGGTTTCTAGTAAACATATGTTTGTAAAGAAAGTTCAAGTGGTCTTGTTTGTGATTAGAATGTAGCAGTTATTAATGTGTGCTTCGCGTGTATACCGACATAAAGATCATAGTTTTGATATTTGAGTTTCTACATAAAAGGATATTATTCACTTTAAACCAATGGTATAATTCAATTACCTTAATGCTTATGTGATTGTGGTTAATCATAGTTTTATCCTCTCTTTGGGAATTAATTTTAAAGTGTTTTTTCTATTTAGACTTTGGTTACTTAATTGTTTTCCATCGTATAATTCCTTACAATGACATCAAGTCATTTTTTTAAATCTTTTGATCATCTTTAAAAAATTGTTTTGCTTCAACTCGGACAACCGTGTCGTGTTTTTATCTGACATGATATGATATTATAAGTTTTTATGTAACATGAACGCAACACAACATGATGTTTTTTTTTTCCACTAACACGAAAATGAAAATTAAAACATGAAAAACACTACACGACAAAGATAACATAAAATAACTATTACTTTATTTAATTCATACATAATCATATAATAACACCATAAACATGATAAATACGATAAACAAATGTTAAATAATATCAATTCCGTGTTCATGATACGATAACACATGTTTTTTATTTTATTTTATTTATTTATTATGTTTTGTTTTGTGTATTTTATCTCGACATCAATTCACACCCGTACTAATATCCATCTATTTTGATTATTGTTTGAAAGAAACAAAAGTTTCCAAGTAAAAATAATGTGATATTTAACTTTGAATTGGTTGATTAGTTTTACTTGTTGATGTATTATTAACCGTATAAAATTCACATGCATAGATTTTATAAAAATTTATTAAAATATATTGCATGTAGATGTAAAATTGTTTAATGCATTGCCCTTGCATGTTTGAAAGAGGTAATTTGTCCTTTGCTTAGATTCTCTTCCCAGGTGTTTTTTAGTTAACAATGGGGCTATTTGTAGTTGGGTTTGGTGGGTGTTTAGTTGGTTGAGATTGTTTAGTGTTTGTATTTCTATATTTGGAATTGCTGACTTCCATCTTTCTTGTGGGACCTCTCAAAACTTGCCAACGAGCTCAAGGTTGGTGGTTCAATGAAATGTTTCCAAACATAGAAAGAAGGCAACAAGGTTGGTTATTTGACTCCCAAAACTCAAAAGCATAGAAAATAATATTATATATTAGGTGGTTAATAACTTCATTATATTTAAGAGTACTTAAGATAAAGCAATATTTTATGTACAAAAGATGGTTGTTGAGATCCATCTTTTATAAGATAAGTTGAAACAAGCATAAGTTGCAATGAATATTGGTTTCAAAGTATCATGTTTGTTCTTTAAAACATCATCAGGTATATGTACATAATCATCAATGATTAATATCAAAAAAACAAATTGATCTATAATAATTTGTCTCCTAAAACAAAAGAAGGATTAGGTCAAAAAATTCAAAGTTATAATGATTGGATGATCATGTGACCATAAAATCCCAATTCCAATTAACCACTATTTTAACTAACTTTTGACTAAAAGGACCAATTCTTAATCCAAGAGAAATTTATAGTTGTGTGTTTACAAGATGAGGAAACTAAATGCTCTTTTTACTAATAATTCGAATTACAAAATAATTAAGTTATATGATCCAAGTTAAATCCCCATTACTAAGGCCATAAGGTATCGGCCTCTCCACTGCGTTGAGAGGCCAGTGTGGAGGTGTACAACGTCGTTAGGGCTTGGGAAACACTAGCCCCTTGTGGCGTTATGTTAAGCGATGTTGCACACTTGACTTTAATACATACCTAGAAGACCATGAGATTATTTCTTTCAAATTTCATGATACTCGGAATATTGACCAAAATGTCTTTACTTCCATTTTAATGACCTTTGTAGCTTCTAGCACTCATGTAATCTGTCACACCCCCACCCGAGGCAGCGGAACATACCGGGTTCTGCAACTAAGTTCATGGATCACATTTAAACTGAATATATAACACAAGTACAAAATAACATTTGTATTCCATCATTAAGTTTCAATACATGGTTCCTATAGATAATAACAATATATGAATTTCCTTAATAGGTAGGCAGACATAACAAAAACTACTAAACTATGTTACCTGAAATCCATGGTTATTCATCACATGAATGCTTGAATTACTGATTCCCTGAGAATACATGTAGTTTTTAGGGTGAACACAAGGTTGGTACAAGTTTTCTGCTAATATCAATGATACTTTTAAAAAGTCTAAAAAGTATTTTCTTTGTAAGTATAACCATACTTCAAACAATGTTTGTAAAGAGTCTTTGTATGAGTTTTGAAAACCAAATGTATCTTTGCATAAGTAAATCCATATATAAAATAGTTTTGAAAGCAACCAAGCCCATGATTTGTAGTAAAACAAGGCTTCATTGAAAGTAACCAAGCCCATGATTTATAGTGAGTCCTATAATCGAGCTATGTGACTAAGTGTGCCCTTTACAACGCTTCATTGTACATCGTAGTAATGATAATAGATACTTATCACCCGCTTCGATTGATGGTCGAGGTTGTAGCTAGCAACCGTAGGTGAGGATGTCAACCCCATATAGATCTATACACACGTATCTCGCTCCAAAGATTAATGATTATAGTAGTGTGGGTATGCTAAGTGTTTAGACTTAGCTAATGAATATAGTCTTACTAAAAAGCCCTTAACTAAGGTATGTGAACAACTCTCAACCCTAACTTCTAAGTGGATAAGTTACTAGGAGCAATAAATTTTATAGAGTTTAAAAAAGTCGAGCATAACTGGTATGCATGTATAGTATAAGGTACTCACTTTTATAACAAACTATGTTTCAAGAAATGTACATGTATAAACTTTTTACAAATACAGTTATACCTCAAATCCTTAGAAATACTATAAAATTTTATGAAATGCTTTTTATGACATATAATGTC